GCGTTCCATATTTCACCTCTTTTTAAAAATAAGGAAGTCATCTTAAAATATGTTGATCACCTCTCTAAATTTTTACTACTAATTTTAATTTTTATCTTTTTACAAAGTTTTATATTATATGTTTCAAATGTACAAATTAAATATTAAATTATAACATATAATATAAAATTTAATTTAATTATTTAATTTTAAATTTGTAAACTATTTAGTTATTTAATTTTAGTTATCCTATTTTTTAATTGTATAAATTAAAATAATATAAATTTAAATATATAATAAAAAATCATTTAATTTTAAATTTATAATTTTATATTCCATTTTATAATTTAAGTATACATATTTTTAAAATTTTATATGTTCCGATTTAATTATTTTAATTTTACAATTGGAGCATATAATTAAAACTAAAATTACATATTATAGAAATTTATAATTTTAATTTTAAATCAAACACATACGATAAAATTAAATAACTAAAAGAAAATTTATACACATCTTCCAATTTAAATTAACAATTTAAAATTTAATATTTAGAACATATAATATAAAACAAATTTAAACGATAAAAACTAAAATTAGTAACAAAAATTTAGAGAGGCCAATCTTTTAAAATAAATATATATATTAAAACTAAAAATCAATCTATTTAAGATAAATGACATGCATCTAAGCGTTATTTCATTTGTCGTCGTTTTTAAAAAAAAAATATATATATATTATTTGAGATGATTATTGTATTATAATATTTTGTGAAGTATGATTATTTGTATAATTTTTTTTAAAATATAAATTATTTATATATTTTTTTTAAATGATTATTTGTATTTTTTTCTCTGTATTTCACACTGTATATTAACTATATATATTATTGTCTCTAGCACTTTTATTTTATGATATCATACACTTGCAAGAATTCTATACGTCTTTGACACGAATTTTGGCTGTAATAATATATTTCTCTAATATATAGCTTTCCTTATAAGCCAACAAAAGCGTCAAAAACGTTTTCAATCCGTAAACTTTCTATCTCCTCCGCATTAATAACCCTTTTTTCATTCTCTTTTATAAATACACCATTTTCTTCTCCATTCTCCCCTCAGATCCCAAATTCTATCGGAGATGTGTTGTCCAGGTAGAGTGTGCATGCTATGCACGTGCTTGATCATGATTGTGATCGTTATCGGCTTTCTCTTCGGATTCGGTGTTTTCAAGCATGGGTTTCACAAAATCAAAGATACTGTTAGTTACTGCGACTCTTGCGGTGGTGTTGGCGGTGGAGGAAGGCCTTTCTTAGGTTATGCGCCGCCGCCATTTTACTAGTTCAGTATTCTTCTATTATTATTCTCTTGTTCCGTTTTTTTCTAGGTAATTTTTTATTTCTTTTATTTTATGGGTTATTAGAATTGGTATTTGTAATTATCCGTTTATTAAACTTTATTTGGATTCGTGTTGATTTCTTATTATTGAATAAAATGTCTTTTCTTCTAGTTATTAATAATTACTGTTTTAAAATGCATAATCTAATTCATTTGATAAATGTAGAATTGTTGAATTATTCGATTATTATCCGTTATTTTTATTAATTATATAAATTAAAACAAATAATTGTTGATTTTTTAATACGCCTTTTTTTGAAATTTTCAATTATCGAATTCTACTCGCAATTGTTGATTCATTATTTTCTTTCAAAAGTTAATCCACTCACTAAACTCTAAAGCTTTGATTGATTCATGAAATGTTATTTTTATGTTAGGAATAGTCATTTTGTTGTTTATGTGTTTATTATAATTTTTTTGTTGGTCTAAGTATGAATTATCGATTTTAATAATCAAATATTTAACAAAGATATTTTTTTGGACCAAAATTAGGTTCAAGATTTAAAAAAATCCAAAATCCAAAATCCAACTTTTTTGTAACAAAGTGGTATATAAAAGTTGATATGAATGTGTTAAAAATGGGATTGAATTGTTTGGTTGAATTGGTTTAACTTTAAATTATTATTTAATTCTGTTCGATTTGAACTAAAATAACTACATAATCTCGCAAAAAATCAGTTTTAGCTATAAAATTGGGATCTGTTTTGCTAAATCAGTTGGTTTAAAAAACCAAATGTAATTTTTATGTTTTATTTTTCTTATATTATTTGTTTAGATTTAAAAAATTGATTATAAGATATGAGGTAAGTGATGTTGATTTTAAAAGAAATGAGAAAAATTATGGTGATATAGAAACTAAAATGGAGAAATGACGCTTATATATTAATGTTGAATCACATTGTGTGAGTTAAAAAATCCAAATAAATATATAACTATTTAGATAATATAAAATAACTTATCAGAATGTTTAATATATATATATATATATATATATATATATATATATATATATATATATATATATATATATATATATATATATATATATATATATATATATAATTTTTAGTTTAAATTTAAAATACACTTGAACTACGATTGAATCTTGATCCATATATTTTATTAGTTTATTTTCCTAATTTGATTTTTAGAACATTAGTTAATATTGACATTGATGTTGTTATTCATTATTTTTATAATAAAGAACATATTATGTAAATTTATGTCATGACAACTCCGATCAGTGTTGAACATTTATATTGACTAAAATCGTAAAAACCATTTTACAGCAAAATACAAATCTTTTGTTGAATACTTGGCAATTGAGAACGAAGCCACTTAAACAAGAATCGTGCCCATCATGTAAAGTATGTAACTGATGGGGGCAGTAGGATGAAAGACATTTGGGTTTTGCATTAAAGTAGGGTTAGCTTGTCATGTCATGTGGCCCATTCACCTATACCTTCATATTTCATTCTTATTTCTTTCTTAGAGTTTCACATTCTTAGCATGTAGCGATTCACATTCTCCTCTCTTTCATTTGTAACTTTTAAATTAGCATCAAAATTTCTAACATGCAAACAACTTTATCATAATAAACAGGCTCTAGAGCTGAACGGTGGGATTAATCTCTTTGAATTAGACGGTCACAGTAGCTATCTAGATTTAAAAAAAATAATTAAATATATGATATTTCCTACTAATAGGATGAGTTTTGATTTTCTCTTCTTGAAATATTTTTTTGTAATCCGTCTTTTATATTATCTCCTCTTATTGTTACTATTTATCACTTCGAAATCAATTTTTACTAGTAATCTCCTCCAAAAACCATAATATCCTCCACCGAAGACACTAGTATTACTCTGCTAAGCTTATGGTGTTTCAAATATATTTCAACTTCTGCAATGGTGTTTCGAGCATCATCAATTTCAGGGCCTTCCTTTTCCTCTTGTCTCCTCCAATAACTCGGCCTGAAAGCAGACAAAACAAATACTCGATTAGAAATTGGATTAAGCATTAGGAATGAAAGCTAAAGCTTCACTTTTGCATGCTGAAAATAATTAGTTCATAAACAAGAGAACAAAAAGCTGCAAAACATGAGAACAAAATGCCCTGCATCACACATGCAAGAATTGGTTCATAAACATGAGAGCAAAATGCCGCAAAACATAACTCATACCAAATACTACAAAATGTCATGCTACAAAAGAATAACCATTTTCTTTCGGTGGTGGGGTAATGCTTTCTGTTCATGGCGGGAGTAGTTAGGCCAAACAGTGTTATTGGGGGGCTAGGTGTGAGAGCAAAATGAATAGTGTAGTGAAGGTGTAGCAGAGAGAAGCGTTGACTGCAGTAAGAGAAATTATAATTTCTATGGTTATCTTAATAAGACTATCAGCATTAAGCTACCACTATTCTGTTGGCAAATATAGTAATAGGAGGGGCTCATATCATTGGAAGCACGGGATTTGGATTATATGGTTAAGGAAAAAGAAACGCTTAGGGGAGACAGTTAGTTGCCAGTGCTGAGTTGGCAAGTTTATTAGGCCATATAACATATGTAGTGAGTGAATGGAAGAGAAAATGGCTTCTCTTGGGAGATTTTGCTGAGTTTACAGATTGGTTTCCCCACTGTAATAGTTTCTCTACTGAGTTTACAGATTTTGCTGTGTGATTTTATCAAAATAGTATTGTAGCTCGGTTGGCAATAGGTGTATCTTGCATCTTCAAGATACCCGGTTTTATTCCCGGTTGTTTTAGTTTTTTCTTAATTAATTTATATATGTAATCGATAATAATCCAGTCAGCAAGCCTAGGATGTCAACTAGAAAGATTCCCCACGCCCACAGTCAAACATGGAATAGAGTTTTCTGTAAACGGAATCTTCGTTTTATAAGAGACCGATCACAAAAAAAAATATTCAAGGGGGGAAAATGAAAACTCGCCTTATTGGTAAGGCGTATCATATATTTAACCCAAAAAAAAAACTATAGCTATATAAATAAAACACATCAATTTCTAAATTTATTGATTGATGATGCCTTTAACAACTCCAGCCAAGTGACATGAAATTCACTTCTACTTGAGCTTAACAACAATAGTACTCCTAACTCTATGTTTCCCATTTGACCATAACAACTCCCCAAACACATATTCCATTGTAGCATTACCCTTCTTCCTGCTTTTCCTTATAATAACCTTGAATGATCTCTTCTCACCAACTTCCTTGAAGCTCAAGAAACTTGGCACAACATAAACAGAAACTCCATCAGGTGCCTTTATTTGCAGTTCATATCTACTCGGAGGTCCGACATTCGTAACGGTTCGACTAGCAACTACTGCTTTGTGCCCTAGATCAAGTATTGTAATTGTAGGGTAGTTGAAATCCACCACATTGTAGAGCTTTGGACAAATGAAGGGTTTGTTATAAATAGCCTCAACTTGTTTATGCCATTGAGCATCTGAGCATAGTAGGTTCATGTAATCAATCACTTCAAGATCGTAAATTAGTCCCGGGTCTAGAGCAAGATCAGGTTGGATGTGACCTGAACCATATGCAAATGGAGTTGCGTTTTCGTCAAAGCGATCCCTGATAGGTTTTTCGCTGTTATCCATTCCACTTGCTGAAATAGACATAGTTTTGCGACAAGTTAATTGGAAGATCACGAGTCATGAGCAAAAATATGACAGTGATTACTCAATGAATCTATATGAATAATCAACATATTTGATCAATAGTCTATTATATTGACCAGATACATTGATTATTGAATGAATTCAAAAAATAAATTTTCTCTTGTAAATAAGACTAGAGAGTATTATTGAATCTAAAAAGTAAATTTCCTCATAAATAACACCGGAGAGTATTAAACAACGGATCAATGTGTTGAATGACATATGTGGTACCAGTAGTCATGATTGCGGATTTGATAGCTGCTGGACTCCATTCAGGATGAAGTGTTTTGAAAAGGCCTACGACGCCGGACACATGTGGGCATGACATAGAAGTTCCAGACAAGGATCTGTATGAAGTCCTTCTTTTATCTTCATTTTCAGTTGTGGCTTCTGTGTAAGCAGCAATTATGTTCACACCAGGTGCAGTGATGTCAGGCTAGAAAACAAGACAAACAATTGTAACAATCATATCAGTTCTACGTGTCAGTGTCGGGTGTTTGTGTTTCATATATAAAAAAATCCTGCAGATTGAAATAAAATGTATGCATAGCAAAGTTGATAACGAAAAACAAGGTAACAAACTTTTAGGATTGATGGAAGAATGGTGCTAGGTCCTCTTGATGAGAATGAAGCAATCACCGGGGCTGGAATTATCGGAGTTTCTGTTACTGCTTTTGTTATGTAAGCAACAGGGTTCCTGCAATGTATAAAGACACATCAATTTCTGCAAGCTTTAATAACAAATGGAAGCAAATATGAACATAGAAGAAAGAACATTACTTTTCACTTCTGATGTAGGAAAAAACATATTGAGAATCAGTGTAATTGACATATGAAGTAGGTAAAATATGAGGGTATGCAGTAGAATCATAGAAGCTATCAATTTCACTAGCCAAAATCATTCCTACTGCTCCTGCAGAAAAAGCTTCTGCACCTGGATGAAAAGTTCCAAGATATTCATCTTCAAGGCAGACCACTATTTTACCCTTCACTTTTTCAACATCAAGTGTTCCGTAACGGCATTGTCTCCTACAAGAGTTCATATGAAACAGTCTTCTAAGTACTAAGAAATTTTAAAAAAATAAATCATTGTAATAGAACTCGAAGAATTCGCACTTACGCAGCTGTAGTTAGAGCATAGGAATGTTTTGCATCTTCTGCAGTAATCAAAGGATAGAACTTTTGTGATGGCAAGTCCTTAGACGAAAGACTTGTCCCCTAACAATCCAAAAAAGAACCAAATTCAAGTTCGATCGCATGTGAAAAACT